GTTTCATATTTTTATGACATTTGTTTCTTTTAAGCTAATATTTTTGCTTTACAACTGAATGGAGCTCATAGTTTCAGGTCTGATCAGCAAAACGGAAAGGTGGAAGCATGTATTAAAATTCACACTGAATAAACAGGTGTTTATATCGTTGATTAAACAGCAACAACATGTTGTTGCATGTCTGAAACTTGAAATGACTCCTTTTGTCCTTGTTTGTGCCTACAGGCCTAATTAGTGGTCCAGAAAGGAAAACTGGTCATTTCTTAAAATGCCAATATCTAAAATTTAAAAAAGAAATTGAATTTGTTGTGTTTTTTCCTGATAAAAGGTACTTGAAAAACCCAGGAAATGCTCTAAAATGTAGCTGAGAGCATCTATAAAGTCCTGAAATTTTCGGGGCCCTTGGTTGGGGTCCGAACCCCAAGCCACGGCTTCGCAAAATGTTGGTAAACCACAATGGAAATCCCCCCCCAGTTTGGAAAAATCCTGGGGAGAACCCTGCAATCCACATGCAGACTTACATGTACATGTAACGGTACGTGGGCAGTATGTACCGGTACATGTACCGGTAGGTGGGATTCGAACAAGGGGCCGAGGGGAGGAAGGCGAGGGGAAAGCCACTATACTACTACAACCTGTAATAAACAGTGTTCTATTTACACTCTTGCACCAGCACTTCTGCATGCACATGTAGGGCTTACCAGTACTTTATGTACATGGTTTGTGTTTGACTTGTGGGTTTGATCCAATGTCAGCAGGCTGGCCACATCCTGTGGGCAAGCCTGGGACCCGCTGGTTGGACACCACCACAACAGATCATAACCAGCTGGGACTTGACCTCAAAACAGGGAGAACTATTGCCCTCATAGAGATCGCTGGCACATGGCCTCTATGCCCTGTGGGTCAAAGGTACATGTACACTGTATATATGTAGATGGTGACTACCAACATGACTGACCACTGGGGGGAGGAGAATGATTTTGAAAGTGGGAGGGGACAGTTGATCAGGCACACAAAGAACATGTACAGTACATGAAGGTTGTTCCATTGAGCCCTGCCCTATTATAGGATAGGACCTGCAAAAATGGGAAGGCCAGGCCCCCCAGTCAAAAAAGTTCAAAGGGCCACTGACACCCCTGACCCACTGCCAAGCCCCGCCCCCACCCCTTCTGCCACCAGGTTTTGGAGGCCTTTGGAGGATTGAGGGTTGATGTCCAAAGTGATTGGCTGATTGCAAAGGATGCCATGAGTGAAGGTCCTGAGTTAGACCTTGTGTTGTTCCTGCTCGGTCATGCATAAATCCAGCCTGATATTTCTTTTGAATCAACAGCCCTGCTCAAGAATGCCATTCGCACTGCCTCAACACAATGACAGCTCTAGGATTTTGAAGGCACACCTCCACTTTTCAAGAAGTCTTGGAGGATTTTGGAGGCTTGAGAGGGAATCCTATTTTTTTCCCCCCCAAATTTGGAGGATTCTGGAGGATTGAGGAGGGTCCCTAGCAGAAAGGGCCTCCATGTACCTGTGGGGGATAACAGGGTTAAGTAGGAAATCTTCATGAAACAGGGGACGAAAGTTCCAGTTTCTGAGTGGGATGTTCTTGGCACTGTGTGGTGACTCAAAGTGTTCATGGGCAGGTTCACAATACTCCCCAATTTTTCACCGGTTTTACTGAAATAAATCTGGAAATGACAGGTCATGCTACACATTTACATTTGTGAACACAACTGGATTGCTGTTTCTGAAATTGGTGGAGGTATATGTACATGTACATGTATTATTAAACTACCGCTACAATCTTCCCTAAGATAAACTGATCATGCAAACCGGTCCGATGTACCAGTAGATTGAGCGATTGCGCCAATATCAACCAATTGTGTCAAACTTGTACATTACTTGTAGGCCTGTGCCGGG